ATGGTTGGAAATACCACTCAGCTTGGCTTTGTTCATAAAAAGAACATATGGTGAAAAAGGAGGACAAGTGCAAAGTTTATTTATAGTTTATAAATCCTAGTGGTTTTAAGAATTAGAATATTCATGGTGAGTGGACTTCTAGTGGGTTGTGTGTGTGTGTGTGTGTGTGTGTGTGTGTGTGGAGGTGCTACTGGTAAAGAACCCGTCTGCCATTGCAGGAGACATAAGAGACGCAGGTTCGATCCGTGGGTCGGGAAGATCCCCTGGAGGAGGGCATGGCACCTCACGCCATTATTCTTTTTTTTTTCATTTATTTTTATTAGTTGGAGGCTAATTACTTTACATCATTGCAGTGGGTTTTGTCATACACTGACGTGAATCAGCCATGGATCTACATGTATTCCCCATCCCGATCCCCCCTCCCACCTCCCTCTGCACCCGATCCCTCTGGGTCTTCCCAGTGCACCAGGCCCGAGCACTTGTCTCATGCATCCGTTATTCTTGCCTGGAGAACCCCATGGACAGAGAAGCCTGGCGGGCTAAGGTCCATAACGTCGCAAAGAGTCAGACCTGGCTGAAGCGACAGCGCCTGTGTGTTTTGTAACAGGAGTTCCTCTAAGGGATGAGCGTGTGATTCCACAAACAGCCAGCAGGTGGCAATATTAGGCAGTGATGTTTTTCTCCTTCCCCAGTGCCTAACAGATTGGCTTGTCCTCAGAATAAACCGAAATCAGACCCAGATACTGAAACCATGCAGAATCTTATTATTTGTGACTGACACTATTAACACTGCTCAGAACCATGTTTTAGCCCAGTTAGGGGGAGCTGCCAGGTCCTATTGAAGCTCCCCAACGCGCTCCCTTCTGGTGTTTGATATTGCTTTCCTTTTGCAATCTAAAATTGGTAGGACACAGAGGATGATCCTGGGGTTGCATTATCTCTGGGACTTTCAAACCAGATTACAACGATCCCGAGCGATGTATTTTCTTTCTTGCAATTCTTTCCTGCTGAGTTAGTCTCCTTTCACACACATCTCATTTTTTCCCTTCATTGGTCTCCTTCTTCCTTGCAACAAAAAGGAGCAAAACACAATCCCAAGTCTTAAAAATTGAATCCATTCTTTGATTGAGAGATAAACCTTACTTAAATGTAACACTCAGACAGCCACAAAACAGGGTAAATCAGTTCTGCTAAGTAGAAAGTGGTCTTGAGAGGGACTCCTGATTGAGCAGATAAATCAGTTATCTTATTAATTGAATCTTCTGAGTCACTTAAGTTGATCCTTTTAGATCATACTTGAAAAAGAATGATAGTATGTGCTTGTGTTTTGCTGGTGATTTATTCTAGATTTATGCCTGGAGGTTCATGACAGCTAAAATGGGGAGGCTGTTCCATATCAGTCTTTGTTTAGCAAAAAGCAGTGGGCAGTTTTTCCGTGATTTCCTTGATCTTTTGAGAAAAATAGCCAGAGTTCTTGAGGGATACATTTGTGTGTGTTTTTTCTCCCACCTAGAGTGTGAGAAGCTTAAGCTGACTGGAAAAGTTGAGAGTTTGAAGAAATCAGGTAGTTAATTCAACAGTAAAGACATCTTTATTGACTTCATTTATCATGTTTGATCTGGTAGTAAAAGAACCACCCAGCTGGTCCTTTAATGTTCCTCTCAGTACTAAGATTTTGTGATACATCTTTTTAAAGAGTAGTAGGTGGTGCCAGGAAAAAATAAATGTGCTATTTTGGCTTCTAGGGAGGGGAGGGGGAGGCAATTATTTTTAGAATGTGTTCTAGTTACACCCAGTTTTAGAGGAAATAAAAAAGCATATTTTCATGTCAGTGAACCCTTCAAGGGGGATGAAGTCTGTGGGAATATATTTTTCAAATCCTTGTCACTATGATCCCAGAGAGCACACATGTAGTTAAAGTGTGTGCCCGTGTGTCTGAGCAGACGCGCATATGTACATTACCACACAAAGCCGGGAGGTGGTCAAAGCATGAGCATCTTAGCAAAGTTTCTTGCTTAAGAAATGGCTAGACTGTGGTCCACTGCTTAGGAAGCGGTGCCAGATTTAGCATTCCTTATGCCAGGAGAACTACAGAGGGAAGACAGTGGAAACTTAGGGAAAGTTGAAAGAAATGATGAAATCAATTAGAAAAAAATATTGACTCACGTTGTTAATGTAATAGCAAAGGTTTCACTGGGCAAGCTGACTGGAATGTTTCCCTAAAAATTAAAGGCAAATGTAGCAGATAATCTTAGTGTCGATCACTGTCTTGATTTTTTTTCAAAGGATGAAATAATTCTGTAATCAGAGTTTCTTGCGATGCCAACCATGATACGAAATGCACCTCTGATGCAGAATAAACTTGTTTATCTGAATCCTGGAGGAATTGTTCGCTGTGGGTGTCTCTTTCACATGGACGCTGTGTATCTTCTGGACGGGAGCAGTGATTTAGTTTCTCAAGCAACGTTCGCACTCCAGTCCACCTACAAAAATTGTCTTTCATTCAGACTTTAGGTGTTCAACAGATAGTGATCCTGGATGTGAAAGAATGGTTTCTGTAACTAGAGCAGTTCGTCCCAATGTATTAAAAATAGTTGTGTTGGGTGTGGACTTTATATATCAGCTTCTAGATTAATTTGATGAAATATGTATCTTATCATAGTATCAACTTTATATCATTTATTTAAGTGCGAATAAATTGAATAAGCCTACTCACAAGCTCTGTTGTGAATAGGGTTGTTGGTTCTGTTTTGATGCGTTCTGTAGAGGTTCAAACTTCTGACATCGGAATGTTTTCTTTCTCCCCTTTGACTTTCTTATGACTGTCTTTCCCTGCTAACCTCCGTGTCCCTCCTCCTCACCACCCCCCTCCAGCTTCCCACCATTCCTGCTTGGGCTCTGATAGCCGTCTGTTCCTTCTTGTCAATTGACTACGTTTCATTGGACACGTGGGTGCCTGCTTAATTATTATCTCAGTGAGCATTTATTCTCGTTGTAAGCTTTTCATTTATGAATTGTGGAACACGTGTCTCATGTTCAGGCAGAGGTAAAAATTTGGAAAGTCGGGCATTTTATAATGGATTTCTTTTTTTGCCCATTCAACAGATATCTATTAAATTACCTTCTACTTGGCCCGATATGGGTGTTGAGGGTCTCACAATGAGGGAGGAATGTTTCTGCTCTCCATGGTGGGGTCTAGGCTGTGGGGAGCATCCAGATGGTCTGCTCAGCCCCTCACCCACTCCATCTAATTTAATCCTCATGTCAACCCTTTAAGCTCATTTATACGGAGTTTGTAAATAAGTTCTAAAAATCCAGTGTGGTCTTTGGAGGCGGTCTGCGTGCTTGACGCGTCCGCGGCGTTTGATGCTGACATTCACTCAGCCCCTAAGTTTTCTTCACTGGCTCGTAATACACTCATCCTTGCCCCTCCCGGGGATGCTCAGCCTTCCCCCCGCCCTCCCCTCAGCCCTTTCCTTAGTTCCTCCCGGGATGTTAGGTCCTCCCAGGGCCTCTCTTTGTGCTTTTCTCTCCTTACATTTTGACCACTACTCTGTCCTTAATCTGTTTTCAGAGCTCAGGCTCTTCCCCTCTTTCTGGTTTCTCGCTGGTGATTTATCTAACTGTTATTACCACCTCTGGCCTCTGGAGCAGAGCAGTTGCTGATAAATGCTGGATTACTGAATTATCTCCCCCTTTCCATCAGGAGGCTGGCGGCAGCAGCTGAGTTCTAATGCAGTGGGTTTCTGGGAATCACAAAAGGACTCTGACCCTCGGTCAGCCCCCAGCACCCTCAGAATCAGCCAGTTTCCTGCTCTTCTGTGCCCATCCTCCTCCCCCCTCCCTTGCCCTGACCGCAGGTGACAATGGGAACTTTGGGCATTATTTTAGCTAGTGTCCAGTTTATTTTCCTAATCCAACTCACATTTTTTTCTGAAGTCACGGAACCCTCGCTTCTGTCACTGACACGGAATTTCACCAAGCCATCTGTCTCGAGGATGATGCCTGTCTGTCGAGAGAAGTGTGGTTCTATTTTTATTTCTCTTGGGGAGACCTCTTTAAGTGGCAGGTAATAAATACTAGGCTTTAGAGGAGGAGAACCTGATTAGAATCCAAACTCCAGCCGGGTAAATGCTGGCAGGTTCTCTGCATCTGAACAGTGAGGTTAATAATAATGGCTGTGAGGATGAGATGTGATTCTATTTGTAAAGCAGAGGAAGTGCTCGCTGAATGTTGCCTGTAACTGTTCGTGTATGTCCCTCGTCAGTGGCCTTGGGAAGAGGAAGTCAGATGGGAGTGCAAAAGCTTCTCCCTTTGATCAGTAAGATGGGGGTGGACTCCTACTGGAGTTGAGTTGAGGACACAGTCCTTCAAGTCACCTCTTTTGTCTGGCTGTGAAGGAAATTATTTCTTGGAGACTTTGGGCTTGAAAGTATCGATCCAGTCCAAGCACTCAGCGTTATTAGCCTCTCTCATCTGTTTTCCACATGGCAGCTCAAGCCGTCCATGCAAAAACTAAATTTTCCATAAGCCACGATATTTATTGAATACAGTTGGTTTGATTCTTCTCATATTTGTCTGATTGTATCTGTTTGCCTTCCCTTGTTCCCTGTCTCTGGTCTGCAGATGGCCTGGTAGGCGACAGTCTGATGCCAGTGCCCTCTCCAGAAATGCTCATCAGGCGGCAGAAAAGCCAGTACCAAGGATTTTCCCCTCCCTTCTTTGAAGCACCTGCAGGCTCAAGGTTGAGGGAGCGAGGCTGAGAAAGGCTTTGTTCCTGTATAATCCCACCCGCCCAATTCCCACACGAGCCACCAGGCTCTTCATCCAGGGCATTCTCCAGGCAAGAATCCTGGAGTGGGCAGCCATTCCCTTCTCCAGGGGATCTTCCCGACCCGGGGATAGAACCCACGTCTCCTGCATGGCAGGCAGATGCTTTACCCTCTGGGCCACCAGGGAAGCCCTGCCCAGTCCAGCGCTGACTCGGTTTTCTTCTCCAGGACCTCCAAATTGAACGAGAGAGGAGTTTGTACAATATATCTGGCGGCTGCACCGCCCTCATCGTGGTCTGCCTTCTGGGGAAGCTGTACGTGGCCAACGCTGGGGACAGCAGGTAAGCGGATGAGCCTCTGGGTTGTTCTAAAGGTGAATGCCTTCCTTGAGTTTTTTTATCTTTTAAAAAAATGAAATGATTAGAAATAAAGCAATTCTGTTTGGGATTCGATATTGAGAAAGATAAGCCTTCTACATCTGGGTAAAAATATATTTAAGAAGGTTTGTCAGGCTGGTATGAAAAGGTGCAGGTTGCCTTCTCCTTTCTTGCCTGTAATGGTATATATATATGTATATATGTACATATATGTGCATATATGTATATATGTGTATATGTGCATATGTATATATACATATGTGTGTATATATACATATATGCTTGCGATTAACCTAAACTGGTAATAGCCAAATGTTTTTTGACTTTAGAACCTGATTTTCAATGAAAGCTTAGCAAAGGCCTCAATATGTGACAATGACGAGGAAGAAAGAGAGGGATTTGCATGAAGCGGTGTTTGGAGGGGACCCAGGGGGACTTCCCAGCTAGTTTCTCTTTGGCTCAGTGACTTTGCCCTGTCTTTTCCCAGAAGCCCAGGAGTTCCTCCTTTTATGCACATGCCCCTACAGGCTGCCTTTTCCTCTCCTCTGGGTTCAGCTGAGAGGAATTTGGGCCAACAGATGATTTAACCCTTACTCGCTCCAGTATCACCAGCAATAAGATAGACTTGTCTTTTTGTTCAGTGTTACTAGTTTTTTCTTTTTGGCTGTGCTGGGCGTTCGCTGGGGCTTTTCTCTAGTTGCGCCAAGTTAGGGCTCCGCTCTCGTGACAGCGCGCAGGCTTCTCGCCGCAGCGGCCCCTCCTGTTGCGGGGCCCGGGCTCCGCGCCCTGGGGCCTCAGTCGCTGCGGCTCGTGGGCTCAGAAGTTGCTGCTCGCGGCTCTGGAACACAGGCTCAATAGTTGTGGCACACAGGCTTAGTTGCTCTGAGGTGTGCGGAATCTTCCCAGATCAAGGATCAAGCTCGTGTCTCCTACACTGGCAGGCGGATTCTTGATCACCGAGCCACCAGGGAAGCCCTGGACTTGCGTTTTAATCATCTTTTTAAAAAAATTTGTATTTATTAATTTGGCTATCCCAGGTCTTCGTTGCGGCCTGCAAGCTCTTAGCTGCAGCATGCGGGATCTTAGTCCCCTGAACAGGGAACGTTATCTGGACTCCCTGCCTTGGAAACGCAAAGTCTTAGCCACTGGACCACCAGGGGAGTCCCCTAATCTTCTTTTAAATAACTGACATGTGCTCACTTTAGGTTCGGCAACATCAGTTATTTAGTCTATACTAAATTATAGACCTTGTGAAAAGCCTTCTAATATGTCTTACACACTTCCCGCCCCCTTAAGTAACAAAATATGTTGGCTTTCTAGTAGGACTTTTTGCTAAAGGCTGACTCTTGATTCTGAAAGCAGTCAAGGGCCTGGACTGTATTCGTGGTTCCTGAGAGGATGGGTGATTCCCTACTCGGGCTGTGGTCTGAGGACGCTGTCTTTCCTCCAGCCCCTTCCTCTGGGTCACTTGCCTCTTCTCAGCATTGCTGCTTGGTCTCTCTCCTTGAGATCAGTCTCCACCCCTCGCCTTCCCTGTCTCCATCAGGTTGTGGGGAAGACAGCCTCCTTCAGGCAATCAGGGAATTCCAGGAGATTACAGGAACCCCAGGAACTACGAAGCAGGAGGGCCTGAGGGAGTCCCCAGTCACCCTAGTTAAGCATCTTCACGCAGTCTTCCCGCTGGAGAGTCTGGAGACCAAAGGAGAATGACCTGCCGAGACGGCCGTTTTGGGGTTAACACTGATGCTTTTGAAGATCTGTTCATGTTTAAGGCTTATGTGGATTTCTTTTCTGCCCTGTAAGATATCTCAGTTTCAATGTAAAATTTTTCCAGGTAAATGGAAGTGAGTGTAAGATGCCATGTTTATCTCATGGCTTCTATCCCCTAGTGGTCCGAGGAGGAGCTAGACTTCAACTCATGTGGATCAACGGACTGGAGTGTACGGGGCCCGGCTAGGAGCATTGCAACTCAGGAAGGCATTGACCCTGCTGGACCTGCAGGGTCCAGGGAAGAAATGCTACAGCAGAGCTGGGAGGGGGCCACGGATGAAGGCCCTGGGCAAGGGCTGCAGGAAGGAGTGGGAGGAAGCGCCTGACTTTCTCCTTCTTCCCATCCCCCTTTCTCCTGCCAGGGCCTCCCATTGGATGAGCCCAGCTGGAAGCCACGTGGCAAGGAGCCCAGGGAACTCGGGTCAGAGAGGTTGGTCAGCCAGGGCACAGACACGGGCGGGGACCACAGCTCCAGGGTGGGGGCGAGTGGAAAATCACCAGTGCGTCTCCTGCTCTTCTTTGCCTTCCCCAGGGCTGGAGTGTCTTAAAAATAGGAATCCCTGTCTCTGGGGCCTTTTAAGATGCACATGGAGGAGCTGGCGCTGAGCCCTCATTCTGTTCTGGGTCTTGAGCTTGTTGGAGAGAGACAAGCAGATTGGGGAACGATTTCTTTCTGTTCCGAGTAAAACTGGATCGATGATTCAGCTTTTGCACTCGTATTCACCTTTTTGTAGCCTGGATTTAGTTCCATCTTTTTAGAAATGAATTTGCCTTCCTGGCCCTTCCAGTGACGCAGGTGGTCGTGACTGACTGCTCTGTTCCCACCCGCTCTTCCCAGGGAAGCATCTTTCATCAGCGGACCCCAGACTTGGAAGGTAACCCAGCTTCCACGCCCAGAATATCTTTATGTTGGATTATGCTTTTCAGAGAAGCGGGGCCTCCCCAACACCCTGTTCTCACTGTTGAATGTGTTCCCTTTGAAGCTCTGAAGGCCTTGATGGAGCCCCGCCCTGTGCTCCCCACCCCACCCCACCCCACCTCCCGACCAGCCAGAGCTTCAGCCCTGCTTCCCAGAACCTCAGTCCTCTGTCCAGGACCAGCCAGTCCCACCTCTTCACCTGGACTTTTGCCCCCCACTTTTAAGTGCCAGTTTTTAGACCCAGATCTTGATTTCCTCATCTCTGAAAACGGTGCTGTTGGACTAAGTATTAATTTCTAATAATTCTGGCATTCTCAAGATTGCACAGTGAGGAGGGACACTTTTGGAAAGCAAAGCCCCAAAGGTTGTTTTGGTTGTTTCATCTTTGCTGGAGTCCGTTTTTGAAATTTTCAAATAACTGTTTCTAAATGTCCATGAAAGTATGGTGTTTTACAGGTTATTCCCAATAATTTGAAAAGTGTCACAGGTACTTTTATCCTTATTAAAGCTATAAAGCACTGACCCCCAAACACACAAATTATCTTATGAGAAAATAGCATCTCTAAAACCTAGTCAGCTTAATTACGTTTGTAGTATTCTGGCCCCAGTATCCAGATATGAATTTGGAGTTCCATGACTGATGGCTGGTTGGGTTTGCTGTTCGCTTATTGGCCATAGGTCATGTAGAAGCCTAAGAGCAATATGAGTTGGTATTGTAGGCACTGTCCAAATGGAACTAATATGACACTTATTTGTGTATTTTCAGCTCTAGTATAAACAGTAGATATTTGATATCATCTTATGTAGGATCATTGCTTAGTTTATTCACTAATAACACAGGTGTTTGAGTTCACAGGTATATTCAGTTATTTCCCAGAAACAGCAACCAAGTGAATTTTTATCAGACCTGCGTGAATGTAGCTCCATTACGGCTTACGGGCAAGGAGTCATGAATCCAAGAGCTCAACTTAAACAGATGATCGGGCCAACAGAGAATTCTGACAACAGAGCTCTGATTAGTTGCTGAGTTTTCTTCTCTGCCAGATATCGGGCAGTTTGCTGTAAATCTTGGCGGTTTTGAGAGTGAGCAAATCTTTGTCTTAGGTTCACTACCCCACAATTATTTACATTCGGGAAAAGAGAAGCTTTGCGCTGGCTTGATTTGGAAACTGCTGGTGGTCCTGTATGCATGCTCAGTTGCCCAGTCGTGTCCGACTCTTTGTGACCCCATGGATAGTGGCCTGCCAGGCTCCTCTGTCTGTGGAATGTTCTAGGCAAGAATATTGGAGTGGGTTGCCACTTCTTCCTCCAGGGGATCTTCCTGACTCAGGGATCGAACCTGGGTCTCCTGTGTCTCCTGCATTGGCAGGTGGATTCTGTACCCTTAAGCCACCAGTACTGGTGGTCAGTAACTGTTCTTCAAGCTGCTTTGTGAGCTGTGCATCACCGACTTACTGTCAGGCCCAATGTGTGCTTGAGGGTTGGGAGCAGCTGATGTTATGTGTGGCTTTACTGGTTTCTGAGTCAGTGTCCACCCTCTGTGTGGGATGGTCCACAGCGATGCCAGTGGTAACCGCCTGGAACACCCTTGCCCTTCCCTCCACGTCCAAGGTAACCCGACACCAGAGGCTCCTGGGATGACTACTTGATGCATGCCAGGTGACTTATTTCTCCTGGTTGAAAGCAGCCAACTCCACACTTAGGGGATCGTAAGAGGCTAGGAAAGAAGCAGCTGGTGGGCGGATTTTTCACTTCCAGTAAAACTGAACTTGGGGGAATGCAAATGTCATGCAAAGCAATATGCAAACTATCACCTATTCTGTTTGAGTCACCCGCTCCTTAGGGCTGCAAGTGATTCTTCAGTTTAGATGTTTGACTCCCTTTTGGAAGATAATTTTTTTTTTTATTTCTAGAGCACTAAGGCACCAAGGAGACAAAATCATTACCACTTACTTCAAACAGTGTCTAAAGGTTTGGCAGCTGAGACTAGGTGAACTCACTCAGAGTACAGAAGACGGTTTAACATTTGTGAAATTCCTGATTCCACTGTGGCCAGATTTAAGTAACAGCAGCAATAAGATAGTTAATAACTGCTAGGCTCATGTTTTTTGTGGGGTTTCTTTTTTATTTGGGCTTTGCTGGATCTTTGTTGTTCAGCACGGGCTTTCCCTGGTTGCAGCGAGCGGAGGCTGCTCTTCATTGCGGTGTGGTCTTCCCATCACTGTGGCTTCTCATGTTGCCGCGCATGGGCCCTAGAGCACTCAAGTGTCAGGAG